CAACCCCGGTCCTCGGGGGAGACCTTGATCTGGAGGAGGTGGGAATGGGGGGTGGGCTGGGGGGAGGGGTGGGCGAGAGGGGGAGAACAGGGGATTCTTTGGCTATTATGTTGAACTGAATGGTGTTGTAAAATAATAATAATAATAAAAAAAAACTTCAAAAAAAAGAAGTAAAAAAAAAGAAACAAAATAATGTATTTGCAAGTAAAAATATATGAAAAAAATATATAGAAAGACAGAAAAATTCTGAAAAACATCTTTAAAATAAATAAATTGTTGTAGTATAAAATTTAAAAAAAAAATCAATAGAAATGTTCTATATAAGGATGGCCATAAACAAGACAAAGGAAAGAAAAGCCACTTGTTTCTCAGGGTATGTGAAGCTAGCTGAATTTCAAGCCAATGGTATGAAAAGAATGTATTCACAGACATGTTCGTCACATAAACTAACTCCTTTCATTCAACAACAAAGCTACCAAAAAAGGACTAATTAAGAAGCTAGCACAATTTATTATCTAAAATGACAAATGTGTTTTTGATTTTATTGTTTAATTGGTTAACAAAATATCTGATTCCATATGGTTTCATACATAGCTTTAGTTGTCTCACCCTTCCACCTGTCCACGTCCCTAAATCTCTGCCCTGTATCCTCACTTCCATCCACTGTATTCCCCATCTTCAATTTTCATGTGTGCACTATTAAGTACTGTCTCTTTCTTTGTATTCCCTACTTATGGACCCTTTATTAGTTTCAGAGTTTCTATATTCTTTCACTGTTACATAAAATACATGTATAAAACTAAGGAGCTTAGATTCACATGTGAGAGTGAGCATATGGTATTTGTCTTCCTGATCTGTGATTTTCTCATTTACTATAATATTTTCTAGTTCCATCCATTTCCTGAAAAATTCATAATTTTATATTTCTTTATTGCTGAATGAAATCTTCATGTTTATTTGTATCATGCTTTTCTTATCTATTCATTTGCTAGTAGACATTGATGGCTAATTTTTTTCTCATTTTATGAATTGAACAGCAAAGGAATAAGGATGTTCATGCCTAAATTTGTCACTATCACTTCCCAAATAAATTATTTGAATATAAAAAAAAACAAAAAAAAACTGAAATCATATATAGATGTTCTGTATTAAACAAGTCAATCAGTGTATGACAAAGTTTTAGGAGCAACACTCGTCCTGAATAAGGAGAGATAAGATCAATGAAGAAATACTTATGGAATAGGCATATTCCTCCAGCCAGAGCTAAGGGATGATAAAAATGACATTTTGAATTTCATATATAAAATCTCCTCATTGAAGGGACAATGCAAATATCCTGTTTAATGTAAGGAATCACCTACAAGCAGCCCCGGTAACCAGAGCTTAGAATATTCACAACTAAAATTTTCTTGGATATTTTTTCTTCTTATAATTTTCAGGTAAACTTCCACCTATAGACATAGGACTTCTTTGTCAGGAGAAATGGAGGATCTGGGAGTTGAGGGAAGGGGAAACATAATCAGAATATATTGTATAAAAAATATCTATTTTCAATTGAAAAAACCTCTGCTTGATATTAGTAATTGATCTACATTTCTCTCATTACTAACAATGTTTATATTTTCATGAGTTTATTTGTCATTTCTAATTCCTTATAGGTAAGTCTTAAAAAAATAAAAAGTTTAGTAGACACTAAAGCCATTTATGAACATTAATAAATTAAACATATTTAAAGATAGTATTTGCTACTAACTCAACATGTGCTTTAATAATGAAAAGTTGGTGAGTAGGAACTTAAAACATGATTTGATACGAACTTCCCCCCAAAACTGATGTTGATGTATTGGTCCCCAGACATAGACAGGTATTTGGATCCTGAAGGATCTTGCCTAATTAGTGGAAAGAGCTATAGACAGACTCAAAAATGGTGGAGCATTCAGAGGTGGCACCTAGCTGGAGGCAGTAAGTCACTGAGATGTATCCATAGGGATAGTATTATTGCCCTCTGACATTCTATTTCCCCCAGAGACCACGGGGCAAGAAGCTCTGCCTTATGATGTGCTTATAAGAGTCCAATGCCTCCCCAGAGGCTTTCAAACTGTGGGGTGAGCTAGCCATGGCTGAAAACTTGTCATGAGCCAAAATGAACATTTTGCACATTTAAGTTGTCTTTCTCAGGAAATTTGCAACAGAATTGGCTACTAACACATTATGCCACTTATTTTCTTGTTTAATTTCAAAAACTGCTTTAAAAAATAGATATGACAGCCTAAAAAATTAGGCTCAGCAATTTGCCATAGCTTAGCTTATATAAATACCATTGGTGCAGTGAGGTTACTCTGGTTACTCAACATGTAATTTTAATATCAAAGAAGGCCAATGACAGGCAATTATTTGTATGTCCCCAAGAAGTAGCAGTTTTATATGAATGTAGGGCATGTTAGAGGTAATTAGGAGTAGATGAAATCATACGAGTATGCCCTCTCAAGGCAATAATGACTTCATAAGGAGAGGAAGGTCTGAGGTATCATGGGTGCTCTGTACCAACAGGTGTTATCATCCATCATATTGTTGTTAGAACTGCCTTACCAGAATCCAAGAGACTCCAACATCATACTTTTTAAATTCCTACTCCTCAGACCTTAGTTTACTAGACACTAAAGCTATTTATGGATGGTAAATTAAATATATTTAAAGATAATATTTCCTACTTACTCAACATAGGCGTTAATATATTTAATCACATGCTATAGAAAAATGTATTTTTTAAATTATCCACTCAGTTACTTCGCTATTGAAAAAGAGAAGAAGAGCCAGCCAGATGATGCAATGAATGAAACATGTGGCACCAAGCCCGACAACCCATGTTTGACCTGGACTCCATATTGTAGAAGGAGAAAATGGGAATTCTACAAGTTGTCCTCTGACATTCACATGTGCACTGTGGCATGCACATGCTC